ATTTGGTGGGAAGCTGCTTCAACACTACGGTTTTAGTGCCACAAATCTTTATCAACCTCATTCAACAACTATATGAAGATGCCACATGTCAATTGATTCACAATGGGAAGCTCAGTGATGTTTTTGAAGTGAAGTGAAGACAGAAGTAAGAGAAGGCTGCCTACTATCACCGATGATCTTCCTGATTGTGGTCTACTAGATCATGCAGCAAACAGTGAGGAGCGAGAAGAGGGGGATACGCTGGATCGGGGAAAAGATCCTACAAGATTTGGATTTCGCCAATGACTTATGTCTAATGTCGCACAAACTCAAAGATCTGCGGGCAAATATTAACAAGTTGACAGGGGAGGCAGGGCAGCGAAGACGGGAGTTGAAGTGAATGTAGAGAAGACAGAGGTGATGAAGATACCCACCCTATGCTTCTGGGCAGTCGTGGAGTCAGGTTCAAAAGACTGCAGAGAACAGAGTGGAATGGAGACGTGCTACTGAAGCCCTATATTTCACTAAGAACCCAAGGGATGAATAATATATAATGATAACGACCTTTCATGTTATTTCCATGCCTTTACGTTCTTACTGACTGACTGTTCAACACTATCAGGATGTTCGTTAAACTCGGTCGCTACCTATTAACTTCACTCATTAGGGGGTAATGAGCTCTTTCAATGAACACACAAAATATAGTTTTATGCTGATGAAATTCATAGAAATACTAATGTACATAAGTTTGCATACTTGCCTAAAATCTCTCAAAGTTTAGTTACCTAATCCAAAAATTTCCAGTATCTTTGAATATTGGAGAGCAATTTCTTATCAACGGTCAATATACATAGTATAAAAGAGAAATGTTACGTAATGCATAGACAGGCGTTTAGAATAGAGAAATCAACAAATGATAACAGAATAAGATAAAATTTCATCGTAACATTGATCAGTCTGTTACGATGACTATGGTAAAGGGAAGAGGTTGTACATACTTCTTTTGAGTGAGCAATGATAGTTTGAACTTTGCCTAGATGTCTTAGCCTAACTGCCTTCGAGTAGATTAGTCGTAATGTATACAAAACGTTGAGGGAATTATCCAAAGGAGCTAAGTGTTCTGAGTTAACTAAGTGTTCCTTTATATAGCTGAAAATGTGTTTTCATTCTCTCTTTTTCAGTCAGACTGGATAGTGTTCACCAGTGCATTTTACAAGCCAGTGCATGGTACGACTGATATAATCGATCCCACAAGAAAAACGTAAAATTATATACGTACACTGAAGTGGTCCAATGATCCAACTTATCCATTATGTACGAAAGAATGGATTTATGAAAGGAGAATGTGATTCGGGCATTTGTAGCAAGTAAAGTTCTACTTATTGATTTAGACCTTGGTTTCTGACGAATATCTGCCGTATTACCATAATACTTTCCAGTATCAAATTCCTATCCATAAACATAAGTGGGTATCCATCTGCTAGTATACTAGGTAGCAATCATTTCAGGAATTAATTTGATTAAACAGAGGTATGGAGTCAAAACGTGTATGCTTATTTTACTATTAAGTAGAGAAATTTATTTATCAGTTTAGCTATCTAAGATAACCGTGGTTTGATAGACTTGTATTGATACTGGGTGGTGATTTAGAAGTCCTTACTGGGTAGGCAGTAACAGTACGGTCGGGCGATGGTTATGAGTCATGAATTCAGACAGCAGTCGGGTAAAACTCTTGATGATTTAAGGGAAATAAAAATTTGGTCAGCAGTCCCGTCTCTTAGATCAATTAGTAGATCGACAGGCCAGGAACCCAGTGGTAGTTGGTTCGAATCCGGCCGCGGTCCAAGCTTTCACCTTTATATATATATATATATATAACTAAGAGGTTTACGAAGCATTTATATATTGTAAGATAGTGTATCAACCTCTGCTGATACCAAATAAATAGTTATTAAAAGCTTATAAGACACTGGACAGTTGGTTCTGCTTATTTTACCTTAGGTCTAGACACTAGTATGTATCGACATCAGCGTGGTGAGTCGAGCTAGACACCGTCACGTTGTACGAAGACAGCATATTACCCTATAGTTACCAGAGTTGGGATTTAATAATCCACCTTTTCTAATTTTGTTGAAGTTTAGCACTGTGCTATGAACATGGTGAAAATCAGTGTGAAAGTGATTATCTCTATCGAATATTGCTTTTACAAACAGACACTCACAAAATTTCATCGGTACGGTGAAACGTTGAAATTGTATGACTCTCCTATATAATATGTTGACTTTATAGTACTTTTCAGAAAATATTGCCGACAATGTTTCACCGTAGATATGAATTATTTCTGTTGCTAGACAAGTATAAATGATGGATCGTGGTTAGCAGTGGAATCGACAATGCACATTTCGTCCTATTTCGGACTCATCAGCTGGATATACCTGCTTCCCAGTGAGTGATGCTATTCCCACCGGTACTCAAACTCAGCAGCGATCGCTTCAAACACCAGGGCGTTATCCACTACACCATCGAGTCACGATAGCCACTTCTTGTGCGACGGGCATAGTTTTTTTGTATCATACCGTCGTTGATTGGACCGAATTGATCAGTCTCTGTTGGTATATGGGCAAATATGTTTATTAAATTCAGGAAAAATTTTCAATAATTTTAATTTTCCTGATAAAGAGGTTTACATGGATAATGATTTTTTTTCCAATGGGTTCTAATTATTGAAACATCTGTAATATGTTTTCAAGATTAAAAAAAGTATAACTAGACAAATGATTGTTAAAAATATATTTCTTGTAAATCAATTTCACTACTACTGTTGTTACCAACCATAATTTTACTGTCTAATATGGTGCATATCAAGCGAAAGCTTAACATAAACCTATTGCTTGGTCATTAACAATGGAATATAAATAATTTGCTTCAATTCGATACACTACTCCTGCACTAGTTTATAAATGAAAGTTGTTTTGTGATGGCTAATGTTACTACCTGGTTGCTTAAGCCAAAATAGATGAAGCAGGTTTTGAACTCAATGGTCACTACCTGAAAGTTGAGTTCCGAAGATATTGATTACTTACAGAATAAGTATAACCCATGATAATATGTATATCCTAATCCCCCTTGTGCAATCCAACATGAATTCACCTTAAGTCGACGCATCCTTCAATTAGTTTATCAGTCGAATAAATAGAGACAGATTGATAAATCAACGTAGAACGTTGTACACAAGTTCATCAGTTCAAGTTGCCACACTTTACCGCAGCATGCAAATAAGCGGAGTGTCCGACGAAATCTACTACTTCATTTCTTATCCTTAAATTAAAGGTTGATGCAGACTAGTCCTGAAGCATCATCTTACATTTGACAGGGGACAACTGCGTGCCAGATATTCAGAAAACTCTCCGTTTCGTCAGCGTCTTCAGCATACTGGATATGGTCACCTAAGTATCCACACATCATCCAAGTGCTTTCGCAAGAGTAAGTGAATCCCTGAGAAGTCTGGGATACCTAGGGTTATATTCAATTACATATCTGTAGCAAAAGTGGAAAAGAGTTGTGATAGGTGACATCTTTTGTAAGCACCACTGGTTGTTGCCACTTAAGTTGACAACACTATATAAGGCCTTACATGGTTATGTGACTTCCAGCACAGAGCTTTGATCAGGGTAATATACTTGCTAGTCATTCTTTTCACAGTCAGACACTGCCACAACATTTACTGGTCAACACATTCAAATGCCACCTTCAGGTGAAGAAATATGGCCTGTCGACTGCCGGTAGTTATACCGATGTTTCTAATCGATGTATCTTCTTCCAAGTTTAAGGCCTACTCGGTTTTCTGGAGTTCCAATTAAGTGTTGCATAACTATGGACCCTAGGATTTTGGACACGATATCAGTCATACTGATACCCTTTGAGTTGCAAGATGAAGACTTTTATCCTTTCACGTGAACTGGAATCATCAGCAATCTAGAGCAATCTGACGAAAGTAGTTCTGATTTTCACACACTAGGTAGCGCCTTTGTTACTCTATCCATTTGGTTTCTACCTCCTCCCTTAAAATCATTAGGCGGCAAACAGTCACATCCTGCTGCTTTGTATCATTTAAGGTATGACATAGTCTTACCAACATTTAGGAAAAGTGGAGAATCAACTCCTTCTGATCAAAACTAAATAAACCATATTCTAAAGTTGTAAGTTTACTTGGTATAGACAATATGTTGTGTCAGAAACGAAATCTAGCAAATCATACATTCTACCATAATGCTTAAATTCTACTCTTATATCGGAGGATCAATATTCACATCCTGTTCAGGTTTGTGATGGATTTCAGGTAGCTGGAATATCACTGTAGGTCTGTTGAATTGTTCTTACATATTTATCAGCTAACTCTCCTGAAAAGATATCAGACTTATTTCTTAACATCTAAGTAATATAATGTTATATTTGTTTTTTTTCCAACGTGAAAGTATTCCGTGAAAATCATAGAAAAAAGTGAAACACTCTACTTGTTAATCATAGTTCTCTTTCAAGTTTTCCCCAAAAACTGTCAGTTCATTAAACAATTTTCAAGGTAGTAGTCATCATGAAGTGATATGAGTTTGAGAATCATTGGACATGAGTATGAAAGTCTTCTTCAGCAGTAGGCACCCACAAAATTGCCATGGATCAAACTCAAAGTCTTCAGGTTTCTCGGCGAAGGTGTTAATCATCCAGCTACTGAATCGGAGTTCAATTGTCTGCAGTTCCCTACTTGTGTAAATTTATGATATAGTAAAACTATCATCCATTGCCTTCAGTTACCATCCGCTTCACTAACGACTAGTTAACTCCACGGGTTACAGTTTCTAATCAAAACTTTAGGATATTCATCCTAAGCCATAACACTAATAAGCAATATGATGTATTGTATTTTGAGGTAAATAAAGATTTCACTTTTAAGGTGTATCTTTCCAATACCCCCCATGTTTCCGTTAATTCTCTAACTAATCTCAGTTCCTGATGATCACTACCTTAAAGATAAAATATTTATTCACTTCGAAATAAATAAATCAATTAATTAATTAATTGGTTAATCAACTAATTACACTTTCAATAAAAGCAAACTAGTTGCATAAGACTGAAAAATGATAAAGTGTTACCAACATGCCTAGGTAAAAAAGCAAAGAGAGAAGACACTTCAATAGGAAGCTGTTAGCACTTAACTGCCTATCATCATCATCATCATCATCGTGATTACAACAATAAAATAAAGAAAAAGATAATCAATACAGTGAAAAGTGTAACAGTACAAAATCATTTTTCTTCACCAGAAGATAAAGTTTTGAAAAAAAAAACACGAAAAACTTTAACTTCCATTCACTTTATGACAATATATGAATAAAACCATATTTCTTAACGATGAACAATTTCATGCTATTGTTTGTATTATCTTGTCGTTAATTAGACTGAATTCGATCGGTCTCTATTGAAGTATGGGCTCCTGGAAGGATGATTAATGATGATTAGCAGTGGAATCCAGGACGTGCATCTCCTCTTATTTGTGACTCATTGGTGTAGTAGATTACGCTTTGGCGTTTGAAGCGATCGATACCGAGTTTGAGTTGAAGTGGGGACAATATTATTCATAGGATGTAAGTACATTCAACTGATGAGTCCTAAAAAGGACGAAACGCGTGTCGTAGATTCTATTTCTGACAATTATCAATCATTAGTAGATAGACAATACCACCTAGTCTTTGACCATGTCATATGCATAACTTATTCATTAGTGCAAGAGTTAAACATGCCCCATTCTGGACTTGAAAAATGAACTGTGACTAGTTTTATAAGGTGATTTTAAAGGTTAAACTAGTAACTACTGAAATAACGAATCAGGTTTTCGAATTCCTGCTGAGAAGGCCGTTTCTCATGGGATAGAGAAAAGTAATCGGTAATCTCCTATAATATCACTCGAATAAGTCTGTAAACAAGGTCATCATCGATAGTTCGGCTTACTTTTCTAAATATACCTAAGCATTAGTGTTAAAATTGTTGATTCATGAGTATATTTTACAGTGCGTGGACTACTCCAGAGCTGTTTCTAGTCAGAGGGGTCGAAATATAATGAATAACGAAAGGAAGTTACACTAATATCCAGGTCAGTCAATGTTTTGTGATAGTCATGGCAAAGACAAAGGTTGAACATACTGCTTTTCGATACAGCACTGGTATGATCTTCTGGATAGCTACTGTTTTAGCTATACCCAAATGCCTTAATCTCACTCACTCTGAATACATTCATCGAAACTTGTAGGGCATTTTGAAAGATAGTAACAATGGGCAGTGGCTAACAGTGGAATCGACAATGCGAATTTCGTCCTATTTCGGACTCGTCAGCTGGATATACCTGCTTCCCAGTGAGTGATGCTATTCCCACCGGTACTCAAACTCAGCAGCGATCGCTCCAAACACCAGGGCGTTATCCACTACACCATCGAGTCACGATAGCCACTTCTTGTGCGATGGGTATAGTTTTAGTGTTACTGTTTGTATTATACCGTTGTTGATTGACCGAATTGATCAGTCTCTGTTGGCATATCGGCTCCTGTGCGGATGCCTCGATATTGCCTATGTTTTGATTATGTTTGGTAATGATGGGCAATAAATCTAATACATTTTGAAAGAGCTTTTAGAATGAGCTGAGTGGCCTGACTTCAAAAATTGTCATGTTATTGTGCCAGAGTAACTTATCCATTCTCCCTTTGCTATACTGGATAGTATTCACTAGCATGTCTTACAAGCGGACACATGGTACGACCTATGTAATCAGCTCCACACGCACAAGTAAGCTGGTATACACACAGTGGTGTGGTCCAATGCGTTAGCTCGTCTTCCACATATTGAGCAAAGAGTAGCACGTCTCCAGTACACTCTCTTCTCTGAAATCTCTCGAACCTGGCTCCACGACAACCCACAAGCTCTCATTTCCTCCTCACACGATCTCCTCCATGTCACCCTCACCTCGGACGCCCAACTCGTCGCTTCCCATGGGGGTTCCACTGGACGGTCTTGCCTGACGCGTGATGTCTCCAATCGGCCTTCTCAGTGTGTGCCCAATCCAATCCATCTCCACTTCCTTCTACTGCATATTTGTTGAGCGACGGGTTCTTGGTTGGTTCGTTCCCAGAGTTGTTTGTTGCTTATTCTTTCTGGCCATCTGATCTTCAGTAGCGAACCAGTGTAGGCAGTTGTTGATGAGTGTGTGTAGTGCGCTAAGCCTCTGAGCCATACAGAAGCACTGACTTGACTGAATTGGTGTTGAAAATCCGGATCTTGTTCCACATGCTGAGTTCAGTGAAGCAGATCTCCACACTGGTTTCAGGCTAATCAACGCCTATCTTGCTTTTCCGATCCTGGCTGACTTTGACATCCTCGTCTGTGCCTGCGCCGCCTGTAGTTGAAACAGTCCTTCCTACGGGACATAGTGGCCGCAAAAATAGGAAAATAAAATTCAAGTTCCAAGCAATTTTAGTGATGTGATCAGCTGAAAAGTGTGTGTTACAACTCTATCGGTATTCAAATCCCCTCAGATTATTATCAATTTGAAAATTTTTGATATCAAAATCTTAGATAAACTGTTGTTAAACTATTCACTTCCTTGTAAAAAAAAATCCTTAAATTAAGATAAAATAACCAGCTTACAGTTTCGGCACCAACTCCATTTGTGTTTTTTGCAATTCTCCTAAATTACATGAACCATGTAATGATTTACGTCTTCGTGAATGTTTTGTACTGGAGTTATTTCTTCTATGTGTAACTCGACCAGTATTTCCACTGGATGAAAAAGTATTGGATTCAGTAACTTCCAACCCCTATGAATAAAAAGTTATCACTTTATAATGTTGAAATATATAAACTGATAAGGAAATAAAAGATAAACAATAAACACAAAAGGGAAAATCCTCAGTAACATCATTTTTCTATCAATATCATTCTCAATCTATACCAGTTGTACAAAACGACTAAATCATTGTGAGTAGTGATTGAAAATATTTGCAGGTTAGGTGAATGATCTCGGTTGTGTTGCTTTCTTTCAACTATTCTTATACAGATAAAAGGATATAACAGTAAAGGAAGACTAACCACACAGCTTCTGTTAAAGTAACTCCAACACTTGTGACCAACACTACATTAGACAGAGTGGTTATACCCTTTACTATTTCGTCCACATGAACATCAATCAGGTATGAAAGATCACCATATTTCATCTCTTATATCAATACATGTTGACAATTATAGACATGAGTTAAATTTGAAAAACGTAATGATTTTGAACAAAGAATATCAGAGAATTCCTAGAAGATAGACATTTCAGTTGTTTCAAGATTCATTAGATGCTTAGATACTTAAACCCAATATATCAAACCATGAAAATTGGCAAACAACGATACAACAATCAATTGAAAGCATCATTCACACACCACTTAATCAGGACAGACTACTGGAACCGATGATATGGAAGTATTAATCGTTTACTTTATATTACAGTTTGTGCCGATGTTATCGTCTAGAAATACAATGAAAGCTTGACATTTAAGCCAACCAGCGTAGAGAAAGCAACATAACCAATATCCGAATAATGTAAATAGAAGATGTGGATTATCTGAAAAGTGTGATGTATCAGCGCTACGAAGGCAGCTGTATTCACAAACATTGATAAGCGCAGATGGCAAACAACCATCATCAGCATCATTGATAACGCTCACAGGATTGATATTAAAACAGCCTTTACAATTTTCTATAGAAACTGTCAGGGGCGTTATACTTAACTTTGTTGAAGCGCTAGTCATCAATAAATTTAACCACCTATTGATAGGGTGCAAAAACAGTTTGTTCTTAAGCTAACCCTACCTTGGTAATGCTTATTTTATCGTATTACCAAGATTGTCTTCAAATTTCATCTTTTCTGCTTTTCTTTTGATTATCTTTTCGATTATTGAATTCCTTAATGTCCTTCACCGACTTCCAGTTTTCATATCTGAATTGACTTGAAAGGTGATTGAGTGATCAGATTGTTCGAAATGTCTAGTACAAATATATCACATTTTTCAGATAATCTACGTCTTCTTATAACATTATCCAAATTCATAAAAGGGACGAATTGTTTCAAATCCAACCAACATCACTGTAACTTCATTACAGATATTCATTAAAGTTCAGTAAAGAGGAAACAATTTATTATCATTATTTATTATCAGTCCCTTGAGTTCCTAGTGGAACGTAGGGCTTCAGTAGCACGCCTCCATTGCGCTCCGTCCTCTGAAATCTTTTCAACCTGGCTCCACGACAGCCCACAAGCTTTCACTTCTTCCTCATACCATCTCCTCCATGTGACCCTGAGACGCTCAGCTCGTCACCTCCTATCTGGGTTCCACTCGAGCAAATGGTCTGGCACGTGGCGTCCCCGAATGGTCTTCTCAGTAAATGCCCAATCCATCTTCACTTCCTTCTGCATATTTTTTGGGCGATAGGTTCCTGCTTCGTTGGTTAGTTAACACCCAGAGTCCCTTGTTGCTTATTCCTATTATTCTGGTCATCCGATCTTCAGTATCGAGTGAGCGTAGGTGTCACATATTAATGAATATCTGTAGTTTGTTGGAAATGCTTTTCGTGACGCACCAAGTCTCTCAACCATATAGCAGCACTAACCTGACTGAATTGGTGTTGAAAATCCGGATGTTGTCCACGCTTTATGCTGAGTGCAGAAGATCAACACACTGGTTTCAGATTAGTGAAAGCCCATCTTGCTTTTCCGATCCTGGCTTTGACGTCTTCATCTATGCCTGTGCCGCCCATAGTTGAAACAGTGCTGCCTAGGTGGGTAGATGAAAGAGGTTACTTCCTTTAAGTTTCGCCCGTTCATCGTCATTGGAGCTTGTTGTTGTTGGTGGTGGTGGTGATGGTGTCGGTTGGGTATCATCGTCACCTCTGTCTTCTATACTTTTACCTGAAGTGTGGTCCTTGCTGCCCTGCCTCTTCTGTCGACTTGTTAGTTTTTGCCTATAGATCTTCAAGTTTGTGTGACATTAGACACAAGTCATTGGCGAAATCCAAATCTTGTAGGATCTTTTCCCCGGTCCAGCCAGCGTTTGTCCCTCTTCTAGTTCTTCACTGTTTGTTGCATAATCCAGTCCACCACAATCAGGAAGATCATTGGTGATAGTAGGCGACAGCCTTGTCTTACTCCTGTCTTCACTTCACTTCAAAGACATCACTGAGCTTCCCATTGTGAATCGATTGACATGTAGAATCTTCATATAGTTGTCGAAGCAAAAAATGGATAAGTTAATTGATTAAGTTACAAATGAAAATATGAGTCTCCAATTTAGTTAGAATATCTAAGAATTACGTCCATTTCGACTGTATAAAACAGTTTTGAATATAAAGTTCTAACTTTTAGGTAAAGCTATCATGGATTATTTGATCTGACAAAAAAAGTGAACCATGTTTTCTATAGGAAATTGCTTATACAATGGTAACTTTTGTTATAACATCTTCAAAATCCTTTTAGCCATCATAGATAACTAAGATTTCATCAACATTTGTATGCCAAGAGACATGAATATTTTTTAGTCAGAAAAGGTATTATGTTCTATTTAGGTGAAATAAATGAGTAAATAGATGAAGAACTTATTGGTGACCTCTCAGAATTGTTTACCTTTATCCTATTAGATATAATGATTGATAGAAAGTCGAAGACTTGATATATTGTTTGAAGACAATACATTAGTTATGCATGCATAAACAGCTTATAGTTTCTGTTGATGAGAAGATTGTGAACAACTAGATCGAATCTAAAATGAAAATGAATAATGATTTTATTGATCAACACTTGAGGAAGTTTTTAATCTCTCCCTGTTCGACATCATACAAAGGTTGACACCGTTGCATAAAGGCATTAGATAACGTGACTGATGGACAATAATCACCTTTCTCTAATATGCCTTCATAACATATCATTGATATGAAATTTTAATGCTTCTCATAATCTCAAAGCATTAGTTGACACCTGTACATCTGTCTTTCAAGGCATCTTTTAATTGTCACTGTGACTATTTCAAGTTGTTATTCATTGTAGACTGACATCAGTTGGAGGAATAAAGGAAACCTGGGAGCACTGGACAGCTGTTTCTTCCGACTAGTATGCGACTCCTCAGCAGTGAACACCCACTACCCCATCGGAGATCGAACCAGCTATATTCAGGTCCCATGGCCGGCGGAATATCACTGAGCTAGCCACTGGGTCAGAATACAATCGTCCAGATTTCCTACTTCTGTTAGCTCGCAATATAGCTCAACCGCCACCCAATGTCATCATTGAATGACTGTTTTCACGACCATCAGGTTTTGCCCAGACCGGTCACGACTTCTCATTGGAACTTCGGGACTACCTCTCGAAGCTAGTCACCAATGAGCACCAGTTCAGTGGAATTTTGAGGGAGTTGTGGAGATTTGGACATACTGCAAGTTGTTATTCATCGAAAACTGACAGAAGTTGAGAATATGGACGATTGGATTCTGACTCAGTGGCTAGCAGAATGATAACGTGCTGGCCCCGGAACCTGGATATCGCGGGTTCGATCCTTAGTGGGGTTATGGGTGCGCACTGCTGAGGAGTCCCATGCTAGTCAGACGAAACAGCCGTCCAGTGCTCCCAGGTTTCCTTTAGTCCTCCAACTGATGTCAGTGTACAATGAACAACAAATTGAAATATTTCCAAATCTCCACAACTCCCTCCAAATTCAACTGTGACTATTTATTTATTTATTTATTGAGGTTGTGTGCAGCTGCTGAAACTATTAGGAAATAAAATAATATTACATTACTCTGTAAGCAGTGTTTTCACTGTACTATTCAAGTTTATCATGAAAGGAAGTAAGTATATGAAATCTTGTTATTCACCTAATATTCTTTATTGATCCAGTTTTTAATTTCCAAAAATTCATCATCAACACCCATGCACATTATAATTTGATTGGTACTGTAGACATGGGATTACTTATGTGAAGCCAAATGTGTATAAACAGTCTTTATCACATTTACCAAACCTGTCTTCATATGATAAAAAGTTTGTTCAAGACATATTCAATACAAACTAACAATCATTTATCGTAAATCTGAACATTTCAAAGTAATAAAGGTGAATTTTGATGAAAATCAGCTGCTTAAATTCAAGGTATAGAGATATGGTCAAATTATTTAGAATATCTCCACCGAGAAAGAGTAACAAAATATAGAGTATAAATACCCTAATCCAAATGTGACAATGAAAACCATGACTTATAATCGTTATCTACTGCGTAATACTATACATATGGCTACTGAAAACAAAACATATCACTGAAAAGGAAAATGATTTCTCAGATGATTTGCGAGTTGCACGATTCACCTTGGCATTTATAACAGCTGAACACTTTGTCAACTGCTCAACAATTCAGCTGTGTAAGCTAAATTTGCCTGGTTACATCTCTAACGAGACCCATCACAAACGAGTAAAATGGTATTTCAGTGTATAAATCATCCTAATCTGATTAGCGAAATCTACAGATCAACCTAAGGTGTTTCGTACTAATCATACTCTTCAGTGTTTTTCTAAAAAATTAAAACGGTATGTGCTTAGCGTTCTTCAATACTGTTGATAATGACTAAGTCAACGTTGTTTATAGACTTTAAGCGTATCACTTCTTAAAAATAACATCCATTTATTTCAGGTTGTTACTCATCAGCTAGAGGAACAAAGGAAACCTGGGAGCATTGGAAAGCTGTCTTGTCCTAGTATGGGACTCTTCAGCAGTGCACACCCACGACCCCGCCAGGGATCGAACCCGAGTCCTTCAGGTTCCACAGCCAGCGCGTTGGCATTGAACCACTGGGTCAGAATTTCATGCCTAAATGAATATTTTACAGAAATATTCTAGTATATTATAACTGTAACACCAAAACTATACTCATTGTATACGAAATGGCTATCGTGATTCAGTGACTTGCTAGATAATACTCTACCAATTAAAGCCATTAATCTTAGATTCAAGTCTCTATGAGGACGATATTATACCCTGGCAACAAGGTACATTCACCCGATGAGTCTAAAATAAAACGAAACCCAGTGTTAGCTATTCTCCAACAATAATACATTTTTGTAGCATAATAATCAACTATACACCGTGTAAACATTGAGTTCAACATATTTTTTTGGAAAGTGAGTTCTGTTATAACTCTGCATGCAATGGCATATAATCACACAGTAGCGTACGATAGGGCGACTGTGCTGACAACTAGCTTAGTTGGGTGGAGGGACGGAGACATTGGTAACCGACTGAATCTTTGTTTATCAAATCACCACCAGATACATGCAGTGATAGGAATGATTCTGCACCTCTCATAGATATATGAAAAATCCTACTGCCCTTGTCATCACACAGAAGGAGAGAAAATTAGGAATGTATAAAGTCTTTAGTATAATTGTTCGTATATGATACCGTTGTTGATTGTACCAAATTGATCGGTCTCTATTAGCATATAGACTCCTGTGCAGATGCCTCGATATTGCCTACGTTCTAATTATGTTAATGATGGATCGTGGTTAGCAGTGGAATCCACAATGCGCATTTCATCCTATTTCGGACTTACTGGTCAGCTGAATGTACCTGCTTCCCAGTGAATGATGCTGTTCCCACCGGGATTCGGACTCGGGAGCGATCGCTTGAAACGCGAGAGCGTGATCCACTACACCATCGAGGCACGATAGCCACTTCTTGTGCGACGGGTATAGTTTCAGTATAATTGTTTTTATATAATACCGTCGTTGATTGAACATAAATGACCAGTCTCTATTAGCATATGCACCAAATAGGATGAAATGCGCGTCATAGATTCCGCTGCTAACCACGATCCATCATTAACATAATTAGAACGTAGGCAATATTGAGGCATCTGCACAGGAGCCTATATCCTAATAGAGACCGATCAATTTGGTCTAATCAAAGATGGCATAATATAAAAACAATTATACTGAAACTGTACCCATCGTACAAGAAGTGGCTATCGTGGATCGGTGGTGCAGTGCATAACTCGCTGGCGTTTGAAGTGATCGCTCCCGATCCATCATTAATGTATAAAATCCTATACAAACTATGATCAGTATTTGATTGTATAGTATACCAAATATTGAGCACTGAGTAAAAGGTTGACATCACATATACATTGTATTTGTGTAAGTCATAGCTGGTTTGAAATCAAATAATTCCAAAGTTTCTCATGGAAGTCTGGTCCGAGCTTCTTCAGGGAAATTAAAATATCATAAATGAATCCAAAACAAACGTGTATTTAATCTCCTTGTCTAATCCTCTTTGTATAGTCATTGTCTTTCTACATTATGATAACTGAATCATTCAGTGTAAAACTGTATATCTTTTGTTGTATGGCGTATGTATATATGTATACTCCAGTTCATATTCATCTTGATTGTAAAAAACAGATGAAAAGGACATTGGTGACAGTCATTCGATAATTTTATTAGTACAAATTGATAAGGATGAGGTGGATGTGTATACAATTTCAGTTGGAATAAAGTGGTGATTAGTGTTAGGGGATTATCTTCGCATTGATTTACCGGAATATATTGGAAATGAGTGATGGTAATGATGGCGGTGATGATGATGATGATGATGATGATGATGACGACGACGATGATAGTAATAATGAACCAAATTAGTGCATGTTGTATTGTTGTTGATGATGCAGAAATAATGAAGTTGAGACTAGTGTTGACGGTAAATGTTTTGAGTCATTCTTTCTGCTTACTAATTAGTAATTGCCAAGAGGTGGCAGCTAACTGTACTCCATCTCGTCTGTTCAAACTGTCTGGATTCGCCGATATATGTAGGGCTTCGGCTGTCAGTCTTTCTTGGTATGGACCTTTTTGTAAAACTTTAGTTCCATCAAAGTGAATTTTGTGTCCCATTTCTACGGAGTGTAGCGCTATCATGGATTTGTTTTCTAGTTTCTTAACCTCTGCTGAGGTTTTTGGGATCTGCTTTAAGCATAGTTTATGCTCATTGACTCTCACATTTACCTGCCTGGCTGTTTCCCCTACATATACTTCAGTACAATCACCGGATTTGATTTGATAGACTCAGTTCTGTTGATTTTCTTTAGGTACTACATCTTTAACTTTTATTAAGCTAGAACGTAGGATATTTGTTGGGCGAAGGTTAACTCTCATGTTGTGTTTGTTGACAATCCTTCTTGTGGCAGTGCTTGTCCAGTTCTTCGGAGGCAGTTTCGACACATCCTTAATTTCATTTTTTTAAATACGTCTAACGAAACCTTTAGGATAATTGTTTGCTTCCAGTATGCGGTAAACTAACGTTAACTCTTCTTCCTTGTCCTCTTCCGTTGTAACAAGACGGCGTATACACAATTTGTACTAATAAAATTATCGAATGACTGTCACCAATGTCCTTTTCATCTGTTTTTTACAATCAAGATGAATATGAACTGGAGTATACATATATACATACGCCATACAACAAAAGATATACAGTTTTACACTGAATGATTCAGTTATCATAATGTAGAAAGACAATGACTATACAAAGAGGATTAGACAAGGAGATTAAATACACGTTTGTTTTGGATTCATTTATATGTATCCTTGATATTTTAATTTTGATTATTTCCTGAAGAAGCTCGGACCAGACTTCCATGAGAAACGTTGGAATTATTTGATTTCAAACCTGTTGTGACTTACACAAGTACAATGTATATGTGATGTCAACCTTTTACTCAGTGCTCAATATTTGGTATACTATACAATCAAATATTGATCATAGTTTGTATAAGACTTTATATATTCCTAATTTTCTCTCCTTCTTTGTGATGACAAGGGTAGTAGAATTTTCCATCTATATAGGACAGGTGCAGAATCATTTCCATTACTGCATGTATATGGTGTAGATTCGATAAACAAAGATTCAGTCGGTTATCAATCTCTCCCCATCTCCACCCAACTAAGTTAGTCTATAATGTTGTCGCTCTATCCCACCCTACTGTGTGGGATCTACTAATCTTGGTTTAGCTGAGTTTTGTGCTCTGTTATTTTAATCAACCCTGGCTTACTCCTTTGATCAACCTATATATTTGACCTGGGAAACATTTCAAGGGATCTGTTAAACCAGATTATTTTGCTTAATTGCATCGATAGGATATTTTAACCTACAAAGCTTTTTTTCTAAGCTAGTTTGTTGGTTTGAATGCCGCTTTAATCCCTGACAGCCTTATTGAGTTTATATATTCCTCACTTTCTCCCTATGATGGCAGGAGGTACCTCAGAAGCATTATGAAAAATTCTCAGTAAGGCTGGCTGGGATTAAAGTGGCATTCAAACCAACAAATTCACTTACAAACAACCTTTGTAGGTTAAAATATCCTATCGATGCAATTAAGCAAAATAATCTCGTTTACCAGATCCCTTGAAATGTTTCCCAGGTCAAATATATAGGTTGATCAAAGGAGTAAACCAGGGTTGATTAAAATAACAGAGCACAAAACTCAGCTAAACCAAGATTAGTAGATTCTAATAAGATAAGAAATCGGCTATAGCTGTATACGCATTCACACAGTAAGCTTGGATAGGGCGACTGTGTTGAAAACTAACTTAGTTTGGTAGAGGGAGGGATGGAGAGATTGATAACTGACTGAATCTTTGTTTATCCAATCAACACCAAATACTTGGAGTAATAGGAATGATTCTGCATCTGTCTACTAGCCTTGTCATCACACAGAAAGAAGAGGAAATTAGGAATATATAATGTCTGTTTCGAAGTTGTTGAGTTAGTTAGCTATCTGATATGAATATAGACAATAAATTGTGTCGGAAACGTTATCTAGTTAACGCTACTGTTACACTGTGTGATACTTTTTTTTTAATAAACAGACTAAAATGAATAATCTTGAATAACCATAATATAAAACATTATTATTATTATTATTACTATTATTATTTGTTGTTTAAAATGCTTACAGTTGTTTGTTGAAGGCAATCAATTAAATGATAATACTGTTGTTCAAATAAATCCTTGACATCAGTTTTATATTCATCATTGCTTTTCTGTATTATTTGTTCATTACAATAAAATTTATCACTTTCTAATTCATTCTTTATAATCTTTACTTTGTCATCGTCTCTCTCGTTATTTATAACGTTATTAATTGTATTAGTATATTCAGTTAATTGATTCTTATACTTTTTCTTGCCTTCTAAAAATGCAGTTTCTGCTACAGCTTTCATCTCTGATAGACGTGATAGCCTAGCCTTCTGTAATAAAAAAAGAATAATAATAATATACAATAATCATCTGAACTATATATAAGTACATACAATTAATATTCTTACTAAATGGGCTTCATTTTAATGAAATCCTTTACTCATCGAAAGCTATAAAAAAACTGTTGTCATTTAAATAATATGAAACATAAAAAAATGGTATACAAACATATTTAAAGATACTTATGAGAATGAAATCCCCACTGATATCAACGGATCCGTATTTGAGTCCATATCCTAACATAACCCAAATCATTTCATTCCAAACCAAACTGTATACATTACACATGAAGTGGCTATCATAAATCAACAGTCTAGTTGATAACATTGAAGCGATGCACTCTGGATTCCAATATCAGTAAGAATAACAATATTCACTGGAAGGTAGATATATATTCAGCTGAAAAGTTTCAAGGAGGATGAAATGTGTAACCTGAATTTCACTGCTGGTCACTATCTATCTTCATATTCAACTTAGTTGACTTTACTGGTCACAAATTCTCATTGAAACTTCGGGAATCACTTCTCGAAGCTAGTCATTTCATTTGAAAAATCAGAAATTGATGGGTTTGTAGGCTTGTCACCATCCTCGATCAACAAAAGCTTTCTTGGATCAAAAGGTTCTTTCTTATGCACGAAATTCAAGTTGATGTAGAAGAATTCTCCATTTAACTTTAATCATAAAATAGTCACTATCCGCACCTTTTGCTATAATATTGACAACTGTATTGTTTTGGTACTGGTTTATCTCCCTCTAGAAAAACTCTTTAATTGTCCGAACATAGTAACTTGGTGGGGGGGATATTTTTCAGTCACACACTGAACGTAGTAGAATGAAGTAGTAAGTCCAACGAAAGGAACAATTAGGTAGACTTCTATCCTGAGTGACTCAACATTCCCGCAAGTTTCGAAACTATGTGACGTGACAATCCCAACCTAAAATTAATTAATAAACCTCCACAAACTTCCAAAGAGAATATATCTAGGTATCATTGGTCACTAGCTTCGAGAGGTGATTCACGAAGTTCCAATGAGGACAGTTACTCAACGACGACACTGGATGGAAGTGGCGCTATATTATGAACAGACAGAAGTAAGAAATATGGACCACTGGATTCCGACCCAAGGGTACAACCGTAACGTGGCAGCGACGAAACCTGAAGGTCATGGGTTCGATCCATAGCGAGACAAGGTGGGGTCATGGGTGTTGACTGCTGAAGAGTCACATACTAGGACGAAACAGCTGTTCAGTACTCCCAGATTTCCAATGTCCCTCAAACTGATGTCAGTCCATGATGAGTCCCAACCAATAACTGATGCAAAGTCTTGGAAATCTATCCAAATAAAGTGTAGTGTGATGCAAAGTTGTTGGACAGTGATCCGTGTACGTTTTCTAATAAGAAATATTTATCCTGGATGATGATTGAAGGTGAAATGAAAATCTGGACCATGGCTGAATTTAAATTAGCGACCACCGGGTTTCTTGCCCGGTGAGCTACGAGGTCCGACTGCTGAACACACTTTTATTTCACTTCAATCACCAAGCGTTTCGCCCTAATTTCGTCTGAATTTATGACGTATTACTATCGCTTGATAGTATTTACACTGGCTGCCTAACCAGGACTTCTCCCAATCACGAAATGTGGTCAGCTAGAGGCACTAAACAGTTTTCGCATCCGTTACTATAACATCTCAACAGTGTAATCTTAAGATTTTCTTAGTAATTGTACTCGGGAAGCATTAGGTCTTACATTGAACAGTTTATCATTCAGTTACACTTCTGAAATTCAATGGTTCAATGATTTCTGTCAATTCATTATACAGGAAAATCAATATTCAATGTCACTGATGAGTATTTGTTGTTGGCATAATCAATTTTATTAACCTTATGGGTTACTACTTCTTATTGGTAATATCAAGGGATTCAACTTGAAATGAGTAAACAAATCTTATCATTTTGACTGTCTGAGATAGCCAAGGTTTCGTAGACTAGTAGTATTCATACTGGACCGTGGCCGGATCTTTCTGAATATTTCCGGCCATCCTTCAAATATTGTTAATCTCATGTTATTTTGATTATTGGATAAAACATTTAGTCAATTATAACTTCAGACTGTATGTTTTTGGTCTCTTTCAATGCTTACATGATGTTCTGTTCATTTTATGTTCACTGGTTTAAAACCACACTAATTTTCTTTCAGTGCTCAATAGAATGAATACTTTTCAAGTTGGTATTCATCATAGACTGATTTAAGTTAGAGGAATATTGGAAACTTGTGAGCACTGGATAGCTATTTCGTCCAACTAGTATGGAACTCCTCAGCAGTGCGCACTCATGACCCCACCTACCCCATTACGGGTCGAACTCATGATTTTCGGGTTCTCTTTCCAGCACTTTATCCTTGAGCCACTGGGTCAGGTTTATCGTTACCAGCTGTAATTTTTCCAAAGAACTAATCTCTCCTGTTCTGTTGAACTTAGCACTTAACAAATAGTTTATGCAAAACATATCTTATTGAAAGTACATTTTATGTGATATTCCAACATTGCAATGCCTAGTTGGTTGTAGCTAGCAGAGGAATTCAGGATGTGAGTTTTGTCCCACTTTGGACTCATGAGCTGAAACTATCTACGCCCCAGTGAGTGATGTTGTCCCCACCAAGTCTCGAACCTCATACCCGTCGCTTCAAACACCAAGGCGTTACCCACTATGCCATGGAGGCACAATAGCCAGTGCATCATGAATTCAAGAACAAATTTAAGAACAAAATATAACAATGACTATTCTTTCAATGGAAAGAGACATCAGATATCTTATCATCACTATCAAGAAACCTTGAGCAACTACACATAAATGTTAGTTGGTTGGAGGTAATCGGCAGAAAACCCTGGACCTAAGTTTCGTGCTTGTTAGCACTCGTCAGCAGGGTGTATTAGCAATCTGAAGGAAACTGGTTTTCACTGTGGGATTCGAATCCTCGCCACCTAGTGTTGCAGTCAGCAACGTTACCACTGAAACAACACTTCCCTCGAGGTTGCAGATACACCCTACTGACGAGTGCCAACAAGCACGAAATGTAGGTACAAGGTTTCCAGCCGACTGCCCCCAACCAATTAAAATCTGTCACTGTGCACCACAGTGGTGAACCTCCTAGCTTGGTGGCCACACTGCCAGTTAACCGACAGAATTCTAATATGCTCACCAGTGATCAGTCAATGAAAACAACTACATATACTTTTCTCCGTTTAGTTATAGTCCTCGATTATTATTACTTTTCCCTTGAGCTCCTAGTGGAACATAGGGCTTCACTAGCACGCCTCCACTACACTCTCTTCTCTGCACTCTTTTCAACCTGGTGCAACGACTGCCCACAAGCTTTCATGTCACCCTCAGCTGAGACGCCCAACTTGTCGTTTCCCATTTGGATTCCCCTCAAGTGACTGGCCTGGTGCGTGATGTCTCCAATCGGTCTTCTCACTGCATGCCCAATTCATCTGCACTGTCTTCTGCATATCTGTTAGGTAATAGGTTCTTGCTTTATCGGTTCGTTGCTATGACAGACTTCCTTGTTGCTTATTCTTATTATTCTGGCCATCTGATTAATGTTCAGTACCGAGTGGGCGTAGGCGGCAGCTGTTGATGAATATCTGTAGTTTGTTGGAAGTGCTTTTCGTGACACGCCAAGTTTCTGAACCATATAGAAGCACTGACTTGACTGACATTGGTGTTGAAAATCCGGATGTTGTTCACGCTTTGTGCTGAGTGTTGTGCAGAAGATCACCACATTGGTTTCAGATTATTGAAAGCCTGTCTTGCTGTCTTCCTGATCCTGGCTGGCTTTAACGTCTTCATCTGTGTCTGTGTCAGCTGCAGTTGAAACAATGCTGCCTAAATGGTAGGTGAAAGAGACTACTTCCTTTAGATTTCTCCTGTCATCGCTGATTGGCGCTTGTTGTTGATATTGTTGTTGGTTGGGTAGCTTCATCACCTCCGTCTTCTCTACATTCACCTGAAGGAAGTCTTGTCTTGGCTGCCTCGCCTCTTCTGTTAACTTGTTGGTTTTCACGTGTAATCTTCTAGTTTGTGCGACAAGACATCAGACATAAATCATCATGGTTGGCGAAATCCAAATCTTCTTCTGGGGTCTTTTCATCGGTCAAACAGCGTTTGTCCCCCTTCTCGCTCCTCACACGTCGTTGCATGATCCAGTCGACCACAATCAGAAAGATCATCGGTGATAGTAGGCAGCCTTCTCTTACTTCTGTCTTCACTTCACTTCAAAAGCGTCACTGAGCTTCCCATTGTGAATCACTTGACATGTGGCATCTTCATATAGTTGTTGAATGAGGTTGATAAAGATTTGTGGCACTAAAACCGTAGTGTTGAAGCAATTGACAAATTACTTCTCGGTCAACGCTGTCGAAGGCCTTTTCAAAGTTGATGAGGTTGAGGTGAGGTAGAGAGTTGACTGCCATTCTATGCTCTGTTCTATGATGATGCATAGTCCTCAATATAAGCATAGAATATGGGTACTGTAGATCGGTCTATTTAATATATGACACATTAATATAGTATTATTTAATCGATGACCTTTGGAGCAAAGTTTATTGCTCACAACAATTTTTTTCACTCGATATATTATGTCATATTTTCCTCTTTCCTTTTGTTTTCATCTGTCAAGTATGTCCTTTAAAGTTAACACCTACTCTTGCGGATTCTTAAAATGTTCTCTGAATCAGCTGTTTTTCGAGTTAATAGTAAAATGAAGGAAAAATGTCATTTAAGACGAATATGTACTTTTGAGTGCAAAAAATTTATCATGATATTTCTATGCTGAATATGCTGATCTCGAATAGCACATTCTTCAACTTGGTGGATGAACCACCACCACTAAAAACCGGATGCTAATTCAGTACAAACCGGTTGCTTGACACTACTTCCTCGAATATTAATATTATCAACACCATTCAGATGTAATATTTATTTCATA